AGATTTGACGCTTAATATTTGCGAGCGCACACACACCCATACAAACGCCCCCACCCACCTATTCCCATACAAGCAGCCAGGCAGGCAGGCAGGCGAATTTGGAATTTCGGCTATGCCACTTTAGTGCTGCTGTGTCGTAAGCGGATAATACTCGTAGATTTGATAAACCTCACAAAAAAAAAAAGCTTCAATGTTCTGAATTCTGAGTTTGATCTATAAAAATTCCTTTCGTTTGCATTTTTTCTGTCTTATTTGCGAAACTGTATGAGTGTGTGTGTGTGTGTGTTTGATTTTAATGCATCCCTTTTTTGCTGCTTTTTTGCTAGACTAGAGTGATTAAGTCACTCAGATTCCTGAAATGCTTTATTGCAAGTTTTTTGTTTCACTCCTTTTTTTGCCTAAGCCACAGCATTTCCATTGATTTACTTGCTACGTTTGATTTTTGTGGGTTATTTATTTTGCTTAATAAATCCACTAAGTTTGCTTAATTTACTGATTTGTTTTCTTAGCGCTTTTTTACGTTTTTTTTTGCGCTTCACTGGCAAACCTTTTTAGATTAGATAGCGCAGCTACATACCTACACAATTTTGTATCAGTAGGTGAATGCTAGTTCGCAGTATCAACAACAACAACAACAACGACAACAATGTTGGCTAAAAACACTTGAAATTTCAATTAAAAGTTGCCACATAAGCAGCCATTTTAAGAATGCAAAATTAGCAAATTCATTTTGCCAATATTTTATATTCTGCCTTTTCTTTTAGCAAAAAAAAAAATTGCACTCTGCCACTTTTCTTTACCCAAAAATATCATCAAACTATTTTTATCACCAAAAACACTTCACTAAAAAAAATGTTCACTGCGCCGAAGAAGCGACACTACGCATCAATGTAAGAATAGGAGTTAAGTGTTGGCTCGAAGAAATGTTATAGCTTAGCAGCCGCAGGACTCGCAGCATAGAAGTAGCAGCGATGATGGTTAAAGATAAGTTTTTCTTAGTTTTCCCTTTCTACATTATTAAATCCGTAGTAGTTGAGCAGAGTTGTTTGAGAACATTTTTAGCGCAAAGAAGATGGCACACAAGTAGTATATGTATGTAGGTATGGAGGTGGTAGTATAGAGGCTGAAAGTATCATCGACGACCGCAGCGCAGCACAGCACAGCACAGGCTATAGGAGACTACATAGTCCGCGAATCGCTTGGTAAGTATGAACGTTCAAACGGGCATGCGACCGACGGCCGTGCGTGTTTCGACTATTTCCTTTTTAATCAACGACCAACCGACACACTTTCCGCACCGCGTTAGACTATATGCGGTTGTTTTTGCAAACAACATAACAACGCAACTGGAAGTCGTCTCGCTGCCTGCGTGCCTGCTATGGGAAGAGTCTATCATCAAAACGAACCGATGAGTGTAGTGCGAGCATGAGCGTACGAGCGGAGCGTGTAAGCTTAAATGCTCCTATCGCAGAAAAATGTACTACGTACATACATTCATACATACATACAAGCGTACGTAGCTGCTCCTCTCGTGACAACGCACGAGATAACACAATTCAAATGCTCAACAGCAGCGTCAGCGTCATTGGTCCAGAGGCGAGCGACCGGGCGAAATCAACTACCCATCCACCCACCCACCCACTAACCGCCGGGGAGCACGACCCATTGACTTACATAGCCGTGCTAACAGCTAACAGGGCTAACAGACAGCGCACACTTGTGCCATCAAAACACCCACTCACAGTGCTTTTTACTCGTCAAATATGTGCTGAGCAGCTGTCGGCAAAAACAAGAGTTTTGATAGAAAGGTTGTTTTGAGCAGCAAACGACGACAATAAACACCGCCAAAAGGTAAAGCGAAGGCATGCAGTGCACTGCTGTAAAAAGGAATTCTTGCTGTGAGCGCGCGTGGAGAGCGAGCTAGCGAGCTTTCTATTCAAATGTGCTAAAACAATTTCTGCATTGGCGAAAAAAGCTTGCATTTTTGCACATTATTATTGTTTTTGTATGTATACATATACATAGTATTATACTTTATTATTATTATTCTAACAATGCGCCACTTTGTACTTATAAGCAGCTGCTATGTACTTTAATATATGTATGTATATAAGTACAAAAGTATATGTAGGTACCTATCAGCCACTCGAGTAGCGTAAAATGAAATTAATAAAATAATGCTAGAAATAAGAGTGAGCAGTTAAGTACTCCGGCCAAGTTGTTCAAACGCCCACTGACATACTAATTTTTAAACTCAAACTCACAAAATCTTGAAGGAAATCGTATAGAACTGGGACAGTGATCTTAGGTTAATAAAACAGGTGTTATAGAGTATAGAGTGAGATACGGCTGTGAAGAATGAATTGATGCGCCGATTTTCGGCGGAAGATTCTTCGTTGCCTGATTTCACTTAAATAGCCGCCAATGACCTTTAATTTTTTTGTCGCCTCAAGGATAAGAAGTTGCAGAAAATTGAAAACGATTGAACTTCCTACTCCAATAAGGGTGGGCCTACAAAACGTGCTGCTTCACTATGGTTAGACTAAAGGAAGAAGAGCGTTAGTTGAATGAGTTTAAGGGAGCAAGTGAAGAGAAGATATTAGTGTCGTGTGGGGCATCTTTAGAAGCCGGACATATATTGGTCAGACTTACATACGTTGGGTATGTCGGGGCCCGAGTCTGGACAAGTAGGATTTGAGTTTGTTGCAGTATCCAGACCTTATTTCCGCCTGAGTTACGCGGATATTCCGAGGCAGCTAAAGCTTGGTTTGTCGGGTCCAGTGGTGACTCTGCTTCCAGCCAGAAAATGTCTGTTCGAGCAGGAATTGCTTGCTGGACAAGAAACTGTTATCTTTCACGAAGAGCATTGAGGTAACGCTACGCATCCGGTTTCTGGCGATATCAAAAGATATATTACTGGGCTTGTATGCGCGGAGGAGGAGAAGAGCATGTCAAAGATAATACTAAAATTTTGACTTTATAAACGAGCGAGTTTGGTGTCATGGACTTTGAAGCTGGAGCTGCTTCTCCAGGTAACGAAAAGGTCGGACGTTGATTTTATATGGAAATGGTTAGGCGGCTCCGTGAAGTGAAGATGCGAGAAATTTACTTTCAAACACAGGCCGGCAATGCCATTACTGGACGCCAACAGCGAACAATAGTCGGCATAGGAGGCTAGAGCGACAGTAGAGGCGAAGAGACACCACTCTGTGGGTCCGTTGTTTAATTATTTCAGGCTTTGATCTTTGATATCTTCTAGTAGCATAGAGTTGCAAGCGGTGTCAAAGGTCGACGCTACTACATCATAGGGCAGTTCTCTCCCAGAGGTGGTTACGGTTTAGACAGCGAGTTATCTGAGTGTTTATGCAGATAATGGCTTTTGGATATTTTGCTTTCCCGATGGCCACCCGAACTTTATCGCTGATGAAAGGAAGAGGTATACTGGGTTTAGGGTGGTTGGTCACCTTCTGGTTACTCGACGCTTGACAGCCATATACACCAAAGGATGGATGCATTGTCAACTGCCAACTTCTGAATTTCTGCGGGTCCGACGAAGCGCTTGTCACATAATGTGACATCCAATAGAAGTAGACCTGCCATCAATGAGTAGGTTATTAGATATATTATCAGTGAATAACCTGCTGTCAGCTCATTCATTTTTTGTAAGCAGGGATGAAAGTAAAGCTAGAAATTGATATTTAGTACGCGTAGGTAAACGGTTTCTCATAAATTTATAAGTTAGTTTATTACATTTGCTTTAGGTTACAAGTAACCGGTAATTTAAGCATAAGAGGTATGAAATGACTTGGCCACTTTCAAAATTATAGACACTTGATATATTTTTTCATTATAATTTGAAATGTTATGATAATCATAATATGGAATATGCTTAAATATACTTAATCTTTTAAAAGTCTTAAGAATCAAATTAATATTAAAAAGTCTTGCGTATCAAAATAAACGTATCTACAGATGCGCTAGTATGTGTGTATGTGTGAACAGCGCGCTGCTGAGCAAAAAAAAAACGCATAAATTAAATGTAAATAATTACATACTGAAAGCTTTTATGGGGGTGTTGTGAGCGTATGCTTGCATTCTCCCTTTTACATTTCGCTCATTCCCGCTCTCAGAAGAGTGCTTACACCATATCACATTGTGAGCGCAAGGGATGACTGGAAAGCGCTAAAGTCATTAAAACGACGGCAAAGTTTACATACAACATATGTAAGAACAAAACTGAATACCCCTGCACAAATGTACACCAAATTGCCAAGTGAGGTAGGCCAAATGCAGTCTTTGCCTGATACACGCTTAGGAGTGAGTGGCAAACGCATTGCGCAATGTCACAGCAGGCGGCGTAAAAAAAAGCTACCGGCCAGATGTTTGTTGGCCTTCGACCGCAACTGGAAGCTTTTTCCTTATTTATATGTATTTATTTGTTTTTTGTTTATTTATTTTCAGAAGGAAATACTTAGGGTTTATGGGTACTTAAGCATGAGTAAAGCTTGAAGGGAAAGCTCAAATTTTATAGAAAAGCTTGTCAGCGGGCGACTGTGCTATAAATATTAATTTTTTGGTTTCATTATCACGCGTATTGAGATATCTTAAAAGGCATACACAAGAACGTGCATGCTGTAGACATCAAAAACAAACGTAAAATGCTTAGACATTTGTTTGAAAATATTCGCAAAACATGCCTTTGTGATGATCGAATTGAGTTTTCACACGCCTCGTTTTTTATTGTTGGCAAATGCAGCTATTAAATTTAATTCAAAGCAAATGTAACAAAATTGAAAAGGTGGCGTGAAATAGGAAAAGGTGCATGATAAATAGCTTCCTAAATTTTTTGTACGTACATATGTACATACTTTGAAATTTGCAAAAAATGCCGACGTACACTTGTCTTATGCTTCCATAAGATCGTTGCTTTGCCGTTACATATATGTATTTTTTATGCACTGTGTATAAATTCAAATACTTTGGAAACTAAAATCACTTACCTTGTTGTCACTATCTGTGGTATTGCCGGAACCGAAACTGGCCAGTGAACAACGATCATGATCGTTCTCCGTCAATGGTTCATCTAGATCACGTGATGAACGTTGTGATGAGCCTGAATTCTTTGCTGGTGACTTAGGTAGCGTAAGAGATGTGCCCGAAAAGCAGGTTTCTTGCATAACTTCACGCATTTTCTTGACCCAAACCTAGAAGAAAATAAAAGGACAAAATGTAAAGTGAACGATAATGGCTTCGCAAAGGATAACATCGAAATATAACAAAGGAATATCTGGAGCTAACAAATTTATGTTATGCCGTTGGACGAAGAATCTAGAGCTTTATACCGGCAAATGGTTTTCCGAGATGTTTTTCATGACAGACGTTTTATATTTGAGGGTTTGTCAAAGCCTGCGACCATAGTTAGAAAAAAACTCTTTCTATTTTTAGATTCTGCTGGACCAGGGATCGAAATTCTCTTTTAGGACGAAATGAAATATTTGGTCAGATATAAATCTAAGTAGTTCTAATTACGCAGACTTGACTGTCGCGTAGATGCTCCAAGGATACATTGAAGATGTTGCTCAAGTAATTCAAAAATCGGTGGATGTTTGAAGGTGAGGTGAGCCGATGGTCATTAAGACGATCGTGTATCGTATCCAGTTGCTGTGGGCATCGGGTTGTAGGACGATGAAGCATAATTTTAGCCAGAGTGGCAGCGGTAAGGTCAGAGCCGTTCTTTTTAGTAGACCAAAATACAGCAAAGTTACAACAGGCGAGGTATACACCTCAAATCCTCAAAGGCTTTAAAGATAATTATTCGTGTTTTATTGGGTCTTCTGAATTGAATTCAGATGAAGTTGTTGTGGGGACATCCTACTACTTTTCTTATATTTTGACAAGGGAAAGGCTGCAACTCTAGAGCATACTAAGGCCTACCAGTTGCATAATTACTACAAATCTAAAAAAAAGCTTATCAATGGCAGAATATGCTATTAGCTGCCGGAAATTGACTTCTTTGTGATATTTTTTATTATTTGATTCTTCATGAGTATGTATCGCTGAAATTAATAAATTTTTTTAACCTAAAATAATTTTTACATAGGTAATTCCACACTGGATGTACTATATGTATAGAGCTATTGATTTAAGAAAAAATTATCTTCATACTTCATATCTTGGAACCCACCTGTTTGGTTTCCAGGCTATTCGCCTTCAAAACGATGCGACAATCAGAGAGCATAGGTGAACGTCCCGTCCACACAGCGAATTTAGTTTCATCGCCTTCAATGTGTTCGGTGATACCCATATCTGAAAAAGGCGATTAACGACTCAATTTAATAAATGTAATTTATTAATTAGCTTTTTTTATCACTAACCGGTTGTCATGAGTTTGCTCTTGAATTGATATTTTACAGAGCCATTTGAGTCCTTCACCTCTTTGGCAAAGAGTAAATACAATTCGAATAAGAACACACGCCTTTCACGCCCCTTGCGTATCAATTGTTTGGTATCCCAAGCTTGGAATGCATCCTGCAGCACTGCCTCACCCAAATTATCTATGGGTACATCACAGTTCTCCAACAATGACAAATGCATTGCATCGTTCGCCTTCTTCGGCACATTTAGCATTACTTCCAAACCCTCTTTGATTTCACCATGACTCTCCTCACAACAAGAGAGCAAATCTTTAAGTAGTAATTGATATTTTGTAATGCGCTGCACTGGTTTGATTAGAAACGCAGGCAATGGATGCTCAACTTTGTGTCGATGTTGTAGCTCATCGAAATAAGTGCCCGAATGTTGTACCATCAAATTATTCGAAATTGGTTTGTTTTTGCAATAATACACGTACATATCGAATTTTGATGCCCACGTGACAAAGCAATGACCAACATCTTCGGGCATAGTTTCGTATTTTTCCAATTCGCGTAGAAAGATTTTTTGATGAAAATTGTAAATTTCACGTATGTTGCCGAAGAGGGTATCCTCTTTGCCGGCCAATGCTGCTGGTACACCCAGACCAGTGCGAAATTCTTCAAGGAAGCATTTGATGCACGTTTCCAAGTCTTTTACATAGGTACGTTCAGTTTGCATTAATTCGGCCATAATAAACTCTTTTCTACGTGCCGATTTACGTTTTTCTTCGTTAATTTCTTTCGATGCGGCTGTTGACGATGTGGTGAGTTTGGCTTCCAGTGAAGGATCTGAGTGGCGATCCGTTGTGGAACCTGCAAGATAAATGTGAATAACAATTAAAATTCAGGAGCCAGACTTTACAAGGTAAAGGCTATTCAACACAATTTTAACGAACATATTTTTTTGTTTTGGGAATCTTATTAAAATTTGTTTACCGGAAGCAGAGCTAATAGAAGAATTCGCATCCGACTCAGCAGGCAGAGCTTTTGCCATGCCTAGTGACTTCTCCAACTGCTCTCTATAAGTGTCCATGCGATTACTAAAGTCCTTGTATCTATTAGAAAATTAATTTTCATATTCAAATAGTATAAACACAATAACTCGAATCTCCCATACCTTTGATCCACAGACGCCACCCATTGCTTGATGGCGCTAGCATGCGCATGCCCCTTCTCAACCAAACTATCGGCCAACTGTATTAGCAGTTTTACACGCTCGCGCGTTTCCTTCGCGGTACCGCGAAATTCGTTATGCTCTTTGAGCAGACCTTCGGTCTCTTCGCGGGTCTTACCCACGAGATTCGTGCGTGACGAGAGATATGCCTCGCCGGTGTTGTGTATCCATTCGATTGCCTGCTTTGCGCTACGCTCAAACAGCACGAATTGCTGACACTGATCCAGCGACTTCTTGCGTTGTGTCCAAAATTCGAGCACCTGATTTTCCTGAGTCAACAACTTGTCGAGTATGGTGCGAACATGTGTCTCGCAATTACCCTGCGTCTGATACTTGTAGTACTGTTGTGAACGATTTGCATATTTAAGGAATGTTTCGGCGGTGCGACGTGCAAGTGTACACGCTTTGAGGAATGCCTCCTTTTGTTCCTGATGCTTGGAAATCAATTGCACAATGGTTTGCGCTTTGTCGCTAGAGCCACCACCGCCACACCAATCGTCTTCGCGTCGGTACTCACGCTCCAAGCTATCGAGCACGGAGCACACCTGTTCGGCGGTTTTGTAGAAATTCATTGAGGCGGTAACTAGTTTGTGACGCTCTTCAGCGTACGTAACCAACTGTTGCCACTTCTTGGTGACATCGTCGGAAATTTCACGTATCGATTGGGGATCGTAATGATTGGCATTAATGAGAGCATCGGCACGATATTTCACTTGCACGGCTGAGGTGTGTGTTTTCTCAATGGCGACCTATTTAGAGCAAATAAGGATAGAGAATTTATAAAATGGTAATAATGAACACACACAGTGTTACACAAAATCACCTGAAACTGTTCGTGTTCCTTGCGTAGCTGCTCTGCCTCCTGTAAGCTATTTGGCGTAACAAAGCTGGCAACCAGCATTGCTTCACCATTACGTATCCACGATATTACTTGATTGGCATCATTTTGAAACTGGCACAACTGTACAGCTTGTTCCAACTTCGCGCGCTTCGCCTCAGACAGTTCCTCAAGGTCAATTTCACGTTCACCCAAAAAGTCCAGGAGGTACTGTATGCGCGCCTGCGCTGTGTGTGTAGCATCTGCCATCGAAATGATGCCAGCAGTTTCGAACATTTGAAGCAAATCTTGTCCCTGTTGTAGCACCTCGTAAGTTGTGTTCTGTATGTCGGTTACAGAGTCGTTATGCATGCGTATCAATTGCTCCGCCTTTTGATAGTCACGCGACAAGTCGGCATGCTGCAGCTCCTCCGACCAAATTTCCAATTGTGATGATAACTCCATTGCGTCACGTTCGAAGTAACGTAAACGCAGTATTAGATCAGCGCGATATTGGCGCGCAGACCACAGCTCCTCCAATTCCACTTTTTGTTTTGTCAATTTCTCCAAAGTGGTTTCCAGGCCCGATATGGATACGCTATTTTCATCATACTCAAGTGAACGCATTTCCTGCAGTAGAGCTTCGCCTTGAGCAATAGTCTGCATGCAACCTTTCAGCGTGCTCTCCTGCTGTTCACGAAATTGCTGCAGATGGCGTTCAATGCCTTCGAGATTCTCTTGAGAGAGCATTGTTTGGTCAGTGGAAACATCGGTGCGCAGTTGATCGATCCAAGCAGTCACCTAAAATTAATGTACATACGTATATATAAGGTTTGAGTATCAGTTTCAAGAAGAAAATATATACACAGATGACCCACCTCCTTTTCGTGCGTGTAAAATATGACAGCCATTTCCAAGCGCCGGCGCCGCTGCTCAACGCGTTCAGCGAAACTGGCCACTTGCAGCTCCAGCTCGCGTGCTACAGAGTAAATCTCATTCGGATCTGCTTCGCCACTGCGCGCCAACTCATCCGCTGCAGAGAGCAGTTTTTCGGCGTTGCTGTAAGTGTTCTGCGCGACATTTTCAAAGTGCTCATGGGACTTTTGGTAAACACGCGCCTTCTGCAAATTGCGCCCTATGCCGGTATTCTTGCGCAAGAAGACCTCACCATGATTCTTCAACCAATCGAGTACCTGTTTTACATCCTCCTGGAAGAGGCGTAGCGCCAAAGTTTGATGCAATCTTATTTTCTCTTGATGCCATTTCGCCTCCAACGAACGATGATGACCGAGTATTTGGTGGATGACGGCAAGCACATGAGAAGCACCCTCACTATAGTCAGCTGCCGGGTTCTGACGTTCGTACTTATTAAAGCTGCTATTCTTGCGGTGATCGGGTACACCAGGTGGCGGTGGTTGGTTGCACACCTGCACCAGATGATCCAGTTGGTAAAGTAGTTTTTTGCTGGTAGAGTGCACTTCGGTGTAGGCCTGACACATCGCTTCGTACAGTGACTGATGTGTGCGTATGGCTGTCTCCAGACTCTGAATGTCTGATGGAAGCGGCTGTGATGCTTGACAGGCTGCTGCCCACGAGGCAACGCTATTGCAATATTGCTCCGCCTTGTGATGGAAGAGCACACTCAACTGCAGCACTGCTGTACGCTCATCCAGCCCAGCGGCAAAGTCTTTCCAAGTGCGATCAAGACGCGTGGCTAGCGTTTTAATGTGCTGTGCGGCATAATGCTGGCTCTCGATCAGACGTGCAGCTACAGCTAGTATGCGATCTATATTGACTGATACATTCATTGAAGCGACAGCAAATTTCTGATGCTCATCCTGTAGCGATTTGGCCACAGAATAGTTATGTCCAATCTCGACATATGACATCTGAAAGACATCGCGGTTGTGCAAAATCCAATCGAACATTTTTTCACAATCTTGTTCGAAGAGCCGCCACTGGAAACACTGATCCAATTTGGATTTCTTGTGCTGCCACAACGTTAGTAGACGCTGTTGGCCATTCCGTATGAGGTCTACTTGACGCAGCGCTTTGTTGACAGCTGCGGCCATGTCGGGATTGTTGGTGGCAGCGCGAAAAGCTGGTGAAGAGTTTTGCGTCTGCGTTGAAGTACCGGAATCGCTGCCGCCGCAGTCAGCGCCAGTGCCAACACAGGGCTGTTGTTGTAGTAAAATATAGAGTTTAATTAAACAATTTAAATGTCAATTTAAGGTTTTGCTTGCACTTACCTGTCTGCCTGGCACACCAGCACCACCTGAATTCTTATTTATTTTGGCTAGCAATTTCTTACTTTGCAATTCCAAATCTTCAATGGGCAGATTTTGTATTTTCTTCTTCATTTCGTTGTGATGATCGAGCGAATGCTTGGCGCCATTCACATCCTCGGCAAAGTCGTTGCGCTGCAAGTCTTCCTGCAGATCGTCAATGCGATCAGCCATATCGCTGGCCTGCCAAAAGAAATCTTCGATTGCCAGACGCGATTCAGTCCACTGTTGATGATCGTAAGGCTGGGTGCCATCAAAATCCGAAGTCAACTGATGAGATTCGGCTATCTTGTGTAGCGCTTCGATAGATATATTCGATGTTTCAAATTTATATTTATTTGTCGATATTGAAGCACGTTGCTTTTGCCAGAAATTATCTGGTTTAATGAGCACAACGTTGTGTATGTTAGCACTGAAATGCTCCTGCAGCACTTTGAGTATTGTCTTTAGATTGGTTGAACAATTGCCATTGCCTCGCATATCAATGATAACCGTGAAGCCGAGGTTCTTCGCCGAGTCGCTGTAATGGAGTGAAAGAATTGAAAATTAGTGAAACTAGTTGGTGCGAAAACAATGTGCTAAAGTTGAATGTTTGGTGTTGTGTGAAGTGGAGTGAAATAAAGTGGGAGAGCAGGGGGGCGTAATCGTATGTGAATACGCCGAAAATAGAGAAGCGAAAACAATACACCGCACATCGGAGTTTAACTTCATATGTGTGTAGCAATGTATGTATGTATGTACGTATGTATGTGGAACGATATATTCAATGAGGCAATGAACTGCGACATAGGCAGCCGCGTTTTATGTTAGCGATAGCTTAAAGTTTGCATAAATTACGTTTAATTCATATGCTGACACAATTTATTTTCATTAGTTTTCTTTATATTAAGTTTTTATAAACAAGCGCGCAGCGCAAAGTGCTCCAATGGGTGGGATTGCGAAGTTGGCGCAGTACATATCTAGTAGTGGAGTCAAAGAAAACCAGAGATTCAACATACATACAAAGGAAAAAATATTTCTTTAAAATTTCTACGAATTTCTTATGTAATTGTTTGTTATTTATCGATTTCGATATAGTTTTTGATATCGAAATTTTAATCGATGTTTTCATTGATATCGTCAACGTTATATGTACAGTGGCTGTATAATCGATATGTTTTTAGCCCTTGCTTGATATTTATCGATATCTGTTTTTGTCATTTATGGCCTTATAACAATTATATTCAAACATTTTTATTGAGCTTATTGTTGCTTTTCCACGATAGTTTTTCATTAAAAACGGCCTCAAGCTCAATAAAAATTGTTGAATTTATCGATATCGATATGTATGTACTCACTGATATCGTGATCGATGTTTTTGTGTAATATACACATGTACAAACTTATTTACTGATATTATTGTAGTATTTATTAGTTGTACCGGCTCGAGGTCAAATATTTTTAGAAAATTATTAAAACACAAGCGAAGTAACAACCATCATCAATTTATTGATATCGTTATAAACTCGTTTATGATAATATTTCTCCATATCGCCTGCGTTATATTTATACTGCGCTCGAGTTTTTTTTTTAATCGATAATTCTAATAAGTATCTAACGACAATATTATCGATACTATTATCGATACATTAATCTATATTTTTATATCTACATTAATCTATATATTTAAAGCAGGTCATTGCCATGCCGATTTTGAAGAGGTTAGGTCGGAATGCTACATATGAATAATTTCCACACTTTCAATCAGGCGAGGACCTGGATATCGACACATCAAAGTGGTGAATGCATTCTTTCACGTATCCACTGCTATATTTTTCGCAGAGAGTACTTGTTGGTATACGAAATCGCGCTGGAGCATAGGTTTAATAGCAGAACGCCCGGTAAGATAATGCTCCCGACAATGAAGCTTATTGCAAATAGGTTTAGTTTCAAAAGATCTCTCCATATTTTTTAATCTTTGCTACATGATCTTGGCACATCACAATTCACTCTTTGGTTTATAGTAGAGGTTGCATAAAGTTGTCACTTTGTTCCATCAGCTGTTTGATTCCCTTTGATATTGCTATGTATGTCCAAGAACCCAGCGGAGAGTGACTTTGAGATGACACGGAGACGCAAGCAAAACTCATCGTAGCAGCACTACGTCGCCGAACTGGTTGATTGTCTTTTTCATTTTTCCTATCTGAGTCCTCCAACTTTTGCCCAGGGCTTATTTACTACATAAATTCCAACTTTGAAGATGCCGCAGTCATTTGGCAGACGATTTGACTGCCAGATCTACAGGTCTCAGAGTATAGAGTGCCTCGGGATACTTGAATCGTCTTAAATTTGTGTTATATATAATTAATTGTTATTGACATTCCTGCATCTCATTCCTCCATTGTTTTTGCACCTAGTACTGCGGCAGGTTGGTCGCAGATGAAGAGGTTGAGCTGCCTCGAATTCGGGCACAACTAACATTAAGATCTGCATACTGTAACAGACCGAGGTCATACTTATCTAGACTCGACCATGACTCGACCACGACATACCCAACACATTTCCAGCTTGTAACACATAACATCCCTCTCCGTTTGGCCTGACCGCGTCGCAACAGCGCGGACCTACCGTTAGAGGAGCTTGAGCACATCGACTCATTGACAACAATGAGGTCGATACTTTAATAAATTCCACTTAAATTCACGACAATTATTTGCTATCATATTCCTTAACCAATGTTTCCATTTTGGAAGATTTTGTCAGACGATGTTTTGGACGGCATTCATTTCAAAGGTATGACAACGAATAGCAGGTTCTAAGTTCAAAAAATCATTTCTCATAATTCTAAGTAGAAATCTCTTTCCGAGAGTTTATATTTAATAAACGGCTCTTTCGAATACATAAACGCCAAGCATTTTTAAAGCTTGACTTTATTGATGTAGAATTTCAAGATGTGAAGATTTTTTTTTTAAATCGGCGTTGTTCAAAACGGTTATAGTTGTCCTGAACTCTTGGTAGTATTTTGGTAGAGTTTGTGTGGGCATTTTGGTAAAAAAAATACTAATATTTTTGGTCCGGCAACACTTTTGATTATTTTAAAAATAATCGTTTAAGTACGTTTAATTGAATGAGAAAAGTAATCATTTTATAAGCTTTAATTAAGAAAATTATCGATTATTGCAATCAAACGATTAATAGGCTCCATCTACTTACTTAATATTTCTTTGGGTTTATAAATTTCACTATTTTATTTCTTTAAATATAAGTGTGCCATAACTTTATTTCTTTGATCAGCAAAAGCAACTTTCATAATAAAACTACGATACTATTGTATTTACTAAGCTTTTGTTTTTCTATTATTTGCTATTTTTTGAACTTAATAGATATTAGTTAACCACAAACCACAATGAAATGTGTGATGTGTGTTTATACATATTTATGTCTGTACACTAGGCGACAAATTAAAGTGCACACCTTGTTCTAATATAATGGGCCGTATGAATAAAAAATTAGCAATTGCTTTTTCTTAAAATTGTGTACCATTTACTTCAATATTGTTTGAATAAATCGAGAAAAGCTCTGAAATTTAAAAAAAAGCAATTGCTTTTTTGTATTCATATAGCCCCATATTCACAATTATTTTCATGAACAATTTTTCGCATTATTTATTTATAAAAATATAGTTCATTCTATAAGATAAACCATATAAAGCTTCACTCTTTACATAAAGTCAATAAGAATTAAAAAAATATCATCAAAATTTTTAAAAATTTTATTCTCATTTATTTTTATGTGGAAGAAACTCGCAGCACTAACCCAAAAGAAATTAAAAAAAATCAACGGTATACTCCAAAATTTTCTAGAAATTCTGAATAAAAAGTTGAACATTTTCATGATAACTTTTGAATTTTTATGAACTTTATGTAAAGAGTGAATCTTTATATGCTTTATGTTATAGAATGAACCATATTTTCAAAAAATAATTAATGCAAAAAATTGTTCATAAAAATAATTGTGAATATTATATTAGAACAAGGTGTGCACTTTAATTTGTCGCCTAGTGTATGTATGTAGATGGATATTATTTGTATGCATTTTCTTTTTCCGACGCGTTGCTTGCTTTGAATGCATAATTCAGATATTAGCCGTCAATAAAATTGTCATGCGTCTGTTGCGTCTGTCACGCTCTTGATTCTTTGGGAGCGGACGTCAAAATGGTGTGGGCAATGTACGCCGGAATATGTATGCATACGTATTGTTCTTTTTTTTATGGACTTAGAAAACCCGTCGGCACCATATAAGGGTTATATAAAGTAAAAGTAAAATAATTACCTTTGTATAGGGTGTTTCAATGAACCAAAAAAGCTTTATTTCAAATGAAAGTGAATAATAAAGAAACATTTTATAACAATTACAATAGGTCAATGGGAGCATTAGAGTGGTCGGAAAAAAATTTTTCCAAGATAGGGTTTGGGGCACTTGCCGAAAGTGGTGCTGGTACCAAACCTTACGTTTCTAAGTATAAATTTAGAGGGTGTTCATGATGCTCATATTTTACTCTAGAAGTTTTGTGTACATATGTATATTAATCAAACGATTGGTTCAGTAACCTAAGAACGATTCAAATTTAAATTATCTAAAAAAAAATCACAAGCTTCAGTTGCTATGGCAACAGTACGTTTTTATAAAAATCACCAATATTTTTGCCAGTTTCACAGCGATCCAGTGGCGCATTTTCGGCGACATTGAGTACCCTGTATGAGTTGCAGTAGAAAACGGAAAGTTGGTATAGATATTACATATATTAAAAGGAAAAAACTAAGAGGGTGCCCCTAAAACCTACCTAATTATCTACTGGGCATACACCCAAGCTCGTTTGCAGCGCAATTTGCTGCGATGTCCCCTAGGCTAGGTACACGTATCGCATTTCAGGAACTCCTTACAGCTTACTTATTTGTCTAAAAGCTCAAATAACGGAGGGCCCAGAAAGTGTGCCACTTCGAGAGGGAGAGGGGTTTTAATTGAACTTGAATTGCATTGCATAATGTTGTGCTTTCTGTCGGAGAGCATTTGGACATCGCTGTGAAGATGATGTTCCGGTGACATCAAAAGGCATCGCGTAGCTGTCCGGAATGCTGTATTCTGACAAGTCTGTCGCTTTATCCACCTCTTTCGTCCAGGTGGGGAAAAGTTTGCTGAATACTTTGTAGGGCAGATAGTTAGGTTCCTTGTAGTGAAGAAGCAAGAAAGCCACGGGTTATTTCAGTGTGAAATTGCAAGACTTCAGGTGCTCCTCCACTTCCTTTGTTTGTGTTGGTTTACCAGCAGTCGAATCTCCGCCTTGAGATCCATCGCTTGAGACACGCTCGATTTATAGAGTAGCCGTGTTGGCTAGGAAATTTTGGCGGGTTTCCAGCGGGAATGAAGCGGGCTACAGCGGTAGTTACAACCTTGCTAACGACAGCATAGGTCGCCAAGTTATGATTTTAAACAGGCCAGCGGCTGCGGGCGGTTATAGCTCCGGTTAAGTCTATGCTATCA